AAACAAAACAACTGAAGCGTGTACTTGTTTCCCTTTTCAGAATTCATGAATCTGTCTCATGAAACAGTTCACAGTGACAGAACCTTAAGTTGGATCATTTGATTCCTGTACGAGAAGCCATACAGTATAAGAGCAGCTTACCATTGAACCAGGAGCGTTTCATTTCAGTCTTGAGCGGGTGCAGTCCGTGTCTCTGAAACACCAGCTCTATGCCCAGAAAGTTGGAGGATGCGGCCGAGTACAATGTGTTTCCTGTCAAGAAGAAAGAAACCAGTGGTGTGTCGATGTTGTTGTGAAAACTACAAACCAGGCTTTATTTTTCTTACCCTAAACGTTTTACAGCCAGGCATTTATCTGAGGAGAGCAGCACTGACAAAACAGAAATAAAGCGTTAATAAATGTGTAACTGTAAAACAGTTACTCACCATCCATAAGGGAAGCAAAGCGTTGGTAGGGGTCAAAGGGGACTTTCCCCCGACCCGCCTCTTTCTTTCCCTCTAGGGAGACATTTCCATTTGTGAAAGTCTGTTGAAAGAGATATTAATGTTTGTGAGGCTCAATTAAACCACTAGTTTCTTCTTTTTGGGGGGTAGGTACACTTATTCACTTTCTTGCAGAGAGTTAGAACCCTAATCTTTTTCCCCTTACGGAGTTATAAAAACATTATTCTCTACTCTGTACAACAACATGGCACAGTACTGCTTTTATATCTCTTATTATTTGTTTTATCTGTTTTACATTACATTTACATCAAATGTAATTTACATCTCTGGATACTTAAATAAAGTTACTTACCATGTAGTCACATGCAGGGTTGAAAGCATTTGTCCCACACACTAGCATTTTACCGTCCTCTGTGGTGTGTAGAGTCCGGATGAAGTTATCACATTCCTGTTGTGATCAAAATAATTACAACTTTATTCTGCTGGATGGTTATAAACTACACTAAAAGCTGATAACATTCACTGATAATTCACTGCTCCCTATACCGTAGTGTCCTTGCCCTTCATTTGACAGAGGTCTTTGTCTGCTGAACCCACTGTCCATTCAGCCTGGAAGAAAAGAGAATGAATGATGACCACGGAGATGTTAGGTTTATACTGTCAGTGGAAATATAAAGTATTCTTCTGGTATTAGAAAATAGTTCTGACAGTACAGAACACTAGTTCTTGATACAGAAAGCTGTCCGGTGTGCAGTAGAGAAGCATTCACTGTGCTGCTATAAATGATGCATTTCTCTTTTTCTGTCTGTCTGTCTGTAATGCACTTTTTACATTCTTTATTCACAAGAGCCTTTATTATACTTGTTCTAGGAAGGTGCTATTTGAGTACACTTGACTTACTTGCCTTTGAGGAGCCACTCTGTGAATCTAAGATGCCACATTAGAAATCAGCTTGTTTTTGAGTCATTGTACTCTCAGTAAGAAACCTGCAGCTGTAGATTAGCAGCGTTTATGTTGTATGAATTTGTGCATGTGAGGACTCAATAACTAATGCGCATTCATTGTTCCATTCATCCCAGCCGGTCTTACCTCGCTGGTCTTTCTGGTGATGTCATCCAGGCTGAGGGTGAGCACTCTCCCTCTGGCTCCCACGACAAGCTGGCCGATGTCGTCTCTTATCATCAAAGAGCTCAAACTGCCAAAGCCAGACTCTTTGAACTGTTTCAAGTTCATGTCTAGACCAGGAGCAAAGAACTGGAGGTAACTTTTCAAATCCATTAATATTCTGTCCTGCTGCTGCATGCTGTAATTTGAATTGTTTCAGATTGTGTGTTATTCCAATAGGCCGTGTTCTGTCTGTGTGGATTAATATGTGTATATAGACTCAACATAACAACACCAGACTGCCAGTCCACTGTCTATGTAGTGATTGGTACAGCATATTGTCTAATGATATCATTTCAGCTGTGATGCTCCCTTCAGAGAGCCACCTGCAGTCTCTGTAGTCTAACGTTACATCCAGACTGGCCTCTTACCTTGAAATGAAACAGTCCTGCGGGGATTTGCTGCAAGGCCTCCACTCATGATGATGAGGAGATAAAAGAGAGCAGCAGGAGGTCTCTTCATGTGCTATATAAGTCAGGAAAAACACCAGTTTAGACCAAATTTGGCTTCAATGTGTAAGTAGGTAGAAAGTCCGATAACAGCAATGATTTCTCTATATATGCTCTTTTTTGGCTTTTAATTCTTACCTCTTGCTTGCTGATGTCGTTTTCTGAGGAAAAATAAAGGTGATTTGTTGTAAAGCAGTCGATATTTGTCTTGTTTTCTCGCCTTGTTTATCTCGACATGTGATGCGGATGCACAGCTGTATTCAGTTCAGTAGGGCAGTAACCGCCTGTGGTGTTTCAAATACACAGAATCTGGACCGAACGCGCGCACAGAACTCTCTCACATTCTTTCTGGAATATATCTGACCAATGGGAAGCAGGCAACTGTTTAATATAGCAACAGACAGTTATGAGATAGTATATGAGACGTCCATTCAAATGATATTGATGCATTTCCCTGCAAATGAATTCAGTCCAAAGCTGCAAGTTTCCAAAGCGCTGCGCAAGGATCGAACCACAAACTAAACCCCGCACTTCTGTTCGCTTTTTTTCTGCGCACATGACAGTAAAATAATGAATTCCCTTTACCAAACAAATAACGGAATCACCAAGTCAGCAACATGCATTAGTAATGGTTATTATGGTATTTTTATCGGGACACAATAAAAAAAAAACATATTTCTGCCCTTTCCTTAAAATACTGTAATGACTCTGAGTAGGCTATGTGTACTTTGGATGTACTGTATTTATTAGGTTTTACAAACATTTGTTTCTGTCACAGTTTTTTAGGTCTTTATTATACCCTGAACACCTGACACAAGTCTTAATACATAGTAATGTTAAATAACAATTCAGTGAAATTAACTCGCAATAGCTAAACTAATCAAAACACTGGTAGAATTCTGTATGGTAAAATGGTATAATAGTGTATAATACTTATAAATAAATCAGATTTGTCAGTCATGAGGCCATGAGAGGCTCTTATATTGCTTTAGATACAATAAATAGTTTGTCAAACTATTTACTTGGCCATCAGTAATGTGATGTAATCTGTGGAACCAGCTTCCAGTTGTGGTTCGGGAGGCAGACACCCTCTCCACATTCAAGAGTAGGCTTAAGAAGAAGAAGAAGAAGAAGAAGAAGATATACTTTATTGATCCTCTAGGGGAAATTGTTCTTTTCACTTTTTTTCACTCTTTTTTTTTTTACACACACAAACACACACACACACACACACACACACACACACACACAGGCTGAAATGCACACTTCATGCACTTGTGGACATGCAAAGGGGAGAGAGATGGTGGAGTGAAGGGGCTGCAACGTTACCGGCGCCCGTTGAGCAGGTTTCTTTTGGGGGGGGATAGGTTGCCTTGCTCAAGCAGTGCCAGCAACCCTCCGGTTCCCAAGCCAAGTCCCTACACACTGAGCTACGTTCCTCTTTGATAAAGCTTACAGTTAGGGCTGGATCAGGTGAGTCCTGAACCACCCCTTAGTTTTGCTGCTATAGGCCTAGACTACTGGGGGATTTCCCATGATGCACTGAGCTCCTCTCTTCCTCTCTCTCTCTTTCTGCACTCATTCATGTCCCATTAATGCATGTTACTAACTTCACTTCTTCCCCGGAGTTCTTGTGCTTTCTCGTCTCGCAGGTTCTCATGGATCCTGGTAGAGCCTCCTGCCATGGTCCTGCTTGACTGCCATTGCTTATATCACTGATATTATTGTTTATTATTATTATTATTATTATTATTATTATTATTATTATTACTACTACAGTTACTATTATTACTATAATCACTGCTCATTGTCCCCCATCGTTGTTGTCGTTGTCGTCATCATCTCCTTCATGTTCATCGTCATCAGTCACTACTATTAGTGTAGTTGTTGCTACTGTTGTTGCTGTGCACCTTTGTCTCTGTCTCTGTCCTACTGTCTGTACCTCTCTCTCTCTCTCTCTCTCTCTCTCTCTCTCTCTCTTCTGCCCTTGATCCTGTGCTGTGGAGTCTGCAGGTCTTTTGGTGCCACTGCAACCTGAAACCACTAGAGGGAGCAGCTAAACTGAGCTAAATGAAGCCTGCTGATATAATTGTAATTTAAAATCAAAATCATAATGAGGGCAGTGTTTTTATTATTTTCATTATAAAAGTATATTAAACTTCAATTTAAGATTAAGTCCCACCAGTTTATTTACTGTAGATGTGTATTGTCTGGCAGTGCACAGATCTGATTATAGAAAGAAACTTTCACTATGTGACTCTGAGAGACAAACTTTTTATTAACTTAATATTTATTTTATCGTGGGATCTATGGTGAAAACTGAAGGGGTTCCATTTCTTAGTATAACAATGTGAGAGTTAGTGTGTGATTTTACTTCTTTTACACCCAATTGAGAATTTGCAAAGACATATAAATAAAAAGGGAAATTGCCTTGTCCAGCAATATGGTATAACCTGAACATTTGTTGTAAAATTTTTCAATGTTGCTAAAATCTAGCAGTTTGTCTTGAGTCCAGTAAAGTTTAGTCATTTGGATTAGGCTTTAATTTGACCTAAATATTAGTAGATACAGTATCTTCCTATACGTTTGCATGGCATTATCTATGTTTAATGGTGTGTTAAAATTTCAGTTGGATTTCAAGCATGGTAATGTATTATTAATGAGAATTTCAAGACATGTTTTTACAGTGTGTGATGCCCTTTAATAATTAATTCTAATAATTCATACATGTATTATTAATTAACAGTATTTACAGCTTTTTTCATTTTAAGTAGATTTATTTTTCTCACAGGAATAGCTTGAAGCAAAATGTTCCCGCTTGAGAGTGCCATAAACATTATAAAAATATAAAATGTGTGAACCAGGCTCATGCCACACGAAGCCACGCCCTTTTTGTACACGTGGCCCCGCCCCTCCTGCAGCCTCCGTTATTATTTATGGGCGTTGATTTCCGGTATTAAGCGTTTGGATTTTCAGGTTCCATGAAGTGTTTGTTATGTGTGTGCGTGTGTGTATGAGTGTGAGTGTGTGTGAGAGTTTGTAGTGTGCTTGTAACCGTTCCCAGCTCGGATACTGTCACCGCCTTGCACCGCAGGCAGGCACCGTGTTCCTACATGCAAGTTACCGTCGCGGCACCACAATCGTTGGCCAGCAATGACCGAAAGCCCCGCGACCAAGCCAGCCAACGGGGACGTGTGTCAGCGTGTGAAGAACGGACTGAAACCGGACAGGAACGGCTTGCTGAAGAGCCTCCACCGCTGCCATGAGCAGCAGCCCAAGCACCACTGCCACCCCGAAGAGGAGGAGGAGGTGAGGCCCGGGATGGGACGGGGAGGAGAGGTTGTTGAAGCCGGGGGAGGGGGGGTAAGCATCTACTGTGTACACCCGGAAACAGTCGGACTATTGCTGTCATTGCCCCGCGTTATGAAGACATGACACAATAACAGCTTTCATGTGTTACCACTGACTGTCAGACAGGTTGTTGTTACCGAGCTCTGGTTGTCTCGATCACCCTTGTACAGAGTACACGCCAAACTCCGTAAGCAATATTGCAGTTTAAAGATTTTTCGCTCATTCTTAATGTTCTATAGTCCCTCGAAACATGGATCCAAAGCTTTGTCTGAATCATTACGAGACGATCTTTAATTCGGCGTATTCATATTTGCATCAAGCAGCATATGAATTCATTTAAATCTCAACTTTATGAATGGGCTCCACCGCCCCCTTAGTCGTTTTATAGGAAGGAGGTTGTTTAAAAAAGGCGGGTGTGACAACTCCGAAAGCTGACATTACACTGAATTCTAACGTTGTTTAAAGAATAATATGCATGCCGAATTTACGAAGAGGTGCAGCTGTGGTCACAGTGTGTGAATTTGATATATAGGCACAAAGTAGATAACGTTACAGTATTAACTTCTAACCATTTCTAAAATACTTAGAATCATACAGTATCTCGTGATGCACATACCATCACAGCCAGTCAAACAGCTTGGTACAGTTCACATTGCTCTGCCAGGATGATAGCAGTAAGTTTTCAGGTAGCATCCTTATCTCATCAGTTGAGTGTGTGTGTTAATCTTAGAGGAAATGGAGTGTGTTTTACTGTATACTTCTATTCTGGTATACTGGATACTCCTTTCGGGCTCAAATTGAACTATAATATTCTCTTTTTTGGCCTGTTCTGGGTGTATATTGGCTGCAATCTTCCTTAGTGTAAATGTTTGGTTTTGAAAGTTTCTTGAATTGGGGAAACTCCCTTCATAACTAATGCTGAAACCCTGATGAGTTGAACCAGTGCACCTGTTCAGTTAAAGCTGTCCACTGAGACTGCATGCGTGCTGTGAAGCAGCTTTTCCCTTAGAGGCTAATGAAATTTCCATGCTTGGGTGCACCCTCTGTAACTGTCCCAATTAGCAGGTCCCTTCTGACTGTGTAATTAGATGCTGTCACACATGAGGATTTAGGATATGTTGTGTTGAGTGTGTTTTTTTTTTTTTTTTTTAATGAATTTCTAATCTGAATTTTGCACCCCTGAACAAAACGAAAAGGACATTGTAGGTAATGTTTTTATCATCTCCTGACTGCGGAGTGTGTGTATGATTTGTGGCTTTTTCACAGCATTTTGGCTGCACATCATCACAGCCAGTCAAACATAATAAGTTATAGTAGGGTGCTAACAACTGGCATCTTACTCAGTGGGTCAACTGCTGGCAAAGGCAAATTCTTCCAGATAATTTCTAGTTTGAGATTCTGAAGGAAAATGAGTGTAGAGACATGCTGCTGACAGGTTATTCTCATCAACAGACTCTGTGGTGCCAGAGAAACAAACAGTTCCTTCTGCTGATGTTTCAGTAAACTGGGTTGGGTTGGCTGAGAAACTGAGCGCCTGGTGACTGAACCTCAGCTGATTACGGTTCATGCAGATGTCAGCGCTGCTGCTCTGTAAGGTATTTGAGAGAGAGAGGCATGACCGGTCACATGTTAGTGCCTAATAGCCATGAGCACAGAGACCAGCATGATGGGAAGACAAAATTGCATAACGTCTGTGAGTAGTGAGTTTCTGTCCATTCGCTTATCAATGGAGGAAATAAACACGCAAAGTTGCAATATCTTTGTAAAGGATCTTATGCATGTTAAGTTTATTGTTGAAAGGTAGATCACTCAGTTCCAAGTGTACAGATTTACATCAACACAACCAGCTCTTCCCTTATTTGGCAGTCAAATCTTCCCTCCCTGGCCTGGTCACATAGTGTTTTCTTTCCTGTGCAGCCGAACCAGAGCTTAATACTGTGTTCTTATCTTCCTCCCACTTATAATTTGGCTGCACCTAAGTCACCCTTAAGTGAGGTACAGAAACCTCGGCCAATGACAACAAAAGACAAAGTGTGTTTTTTTTTGTTTTTTTTCTTCATTAGAACAAAAGGAGAGGGGAGTCACAGGGAGTCAGACTGTAAATTCAAGTATTCCAAATGTGAAACTTCCTTCCAGCTTTATGAGTTGCAGAAAATATCTTTTTGGGAGGAAGATGAGTTATAACTTGTTATAGACTGGATTTGTATACTTGGAGATGGTGGAAAGTAAGTACATTTACATTAGTACTGTATGCTACTTTTACTCCACCACATTTTGGAGGCAAAAATGTACTTTTACCTGACAGCTGACAGCTAATCGACTAATAAATGCTGATGTATTATTATAGATGAAGCTACTTGGCAGTATATTAAGTAGTTACAATTAGCCTTTACCAGCTGCAGCATTGAAGTGATGCTTACACATGAATGCATCCATAGTTATAATCCAGTGATATTATTCTGAAATGGGCCATTTTGAATAATGAGCACTTTTACATTTCAGATTTTTTTTCTACATAATTAAATGTTTTGAACATGTAACAAAGTATTTCTACACTGTGCTACTGTTACTTGCGTAGAGGATCTGAGTGCCAGCATACATCACATAAACTGAGACTCCAAGTAATTTATTTTATTTTTTCATTACAAGTTAATTAACCATTAATCTTTATATTTTTATATATTAGATTAAAATTCTGTCAACCAATGAAATTGCCATATTTCAGACAGAACATTTCTATCCAAGGTTTCCATGTTTCAACATGTAAACAGAATTGTGATATCCCAAATTTAAAGAAATAATATGTACTGAGACAAACTTTTTTTTTTTAGAACACTTTATCAAAGCTGGCCATGTTTTTAAATATTTTCCATCATTACATTTGAATATCTGTGGCTAGTAAATCCCAGTCTTATTCTCTGGCTTTACTTCTGTGCATTTTATGCATTGCTGTCTATTTCTCTGTACTGTGGAAAACATTAAATAGGACTGACCAGGGTTGACTTCAAAATTATTTGCGATTCCACTAATCATGCTCTTAGGCCCCACCCCTAAAGTCAAAGAGAGACTTTCCACTTTCAGCAGATGAATGTGAAAACATCCTTCTAGTGTCAAACTCTGCTCATACATCATTCTGCACAGTGAAGCTCAAACATGTAGGAACAAGAAGAAATACTATTATAAGCTATTATACATATACAGTAATACTGACTTAAACAAACAGAATAATAACACTGAAAGCAGTAGCTTCAATTATACCTTCTAAACTACAATATTTTATTTTTTAACATTCAGTGTTTTGGTTTTTATGATGTTTCAGTACAGTAAATTATCTGGTGTCCATGTCGCCCAGGTCCATGCAGCATCACATCATGGCAGCCTGTATAACCGGTCCTTCATTGAGTCTTTCGAAGAGACGCCCATGCTGGTGGCAGTGCTTACCTACATGGGCTATGGCATTCTGACCATCTTCGGCTACCTCCGCGACTTCCTCCGACACTGGAAGATCGAGAGGTGCCACATCGCCAGGGAGAAGGAGGAACAGAAGGTGAGAGAAGCCACAGGCACACAACACACGGTGTGATTTCACAACATCATTTTAGTTCATCTGAGTTTGGCTAGTCATAGACAAGAAGAGGAAGAAAAATATTCAACCAAACAACAATATAAATGCAGAAATGAGGAGGTAAAAGATGGTGTCACTGATCTAAACAGGTTTGAATTTGTCTGTTAAACCTGTGACCCTGGTTCTTTTGCACCTTGTATCCTTGGAAGCTGTTTCCCTATGAGGATGGCAGTTGGCAACATGTTGTTATGATTTCCAGCAGCAGACGCATGCATTTGCAGTCTGCTGCCTATACCACAGTATAATAACTGGGATGTTATAAATTGTTTTGGTTGCACAGTTACAATGCCGTGAGCAGAATTTGCTCTCAAGGAAAAGGAGGCCAGATGTGTTTCAGGTGCTGAATGGAATTTATTTGGTAGCCTGAGCTCTAATTACATGTTGCCTGGCGACTGAAGGTTTGCCTTGTTCGTGTAGGAACAAGAGTGATAGCAAATGGGGGGTAAAATAGACCGTTCGTTGTTTTGTTAACCGAGCTGAACCACAGTGATGTGTGCACACCACAAATCCTCCCAACACTAGGAGCTATAGAGGCTCTGGTATGTCAGACGTTTCAAGCAGTATTGCGTCATGCTTGGTGTTGTGAGAGGAAGCATACATTTGGCAAACAAAACCTCCAGTTTATCGTAATCTTGTCAAATGTTATGATATCCCAGACAGGAAATAGATTGCAAAACAAATGTTTGTTTTCATGCTGAAACACAGCTCAGACAGAGGCAAACTCACTAATGTAACGTTTTAATCATTAGCCCTCAGGTGTCGTTGCTTTTCTTCCCAGTTGTCAACGCGCAGCTAAATGGTGGCGTTATCAGCACATTTGGAACACGTCCTTGACCACTGACATTGTTTTTGACCTGTTATGTAATGTTTGATAGTGAAACCCATTGTTTTCAAGTATTCGGTTTTGTTGAGGAAAGGAAGCTAGTGGGATAGATGTGGGGAAGTCATTAAATCACCCCAAGGATATCCCATGGATGTTTCCTCCAAGAACCAAGGAAAATTAACTCCCAGTGTCATGTGCTTAGATTATCTTTCTAGAGATTGAATTCCTTGCAGATAAGCCTTCCAAAAGAATGAATGGCATGTACTACTTTGAAGTTGTTTTTATACTCCTAAAATATTAGTGACATTCCTACATTCTCTGCCACACAAGTAATATGCCCCTTTCTACTTCTCCTCATGATGTTCTCTTTATTCATCCATGTGTAGGACTTTGTGCCCCTCTACCAGGATTTTGAGAACTTTTACACCAGAAACCTCTACATGCGTATAAGAGACAACTGGAACAGGCCCATATGCAGCGTCCCGGGGGCCAAAGTGGACCTGATGGAGCGATCCTCTCGTGACTACAACTGGACTTTTGAGTGAGGAAGACATACCTTTTATTCAAGTCTGTAAACACAGTGCTCTGTGGCCTCGATGGGACAATAGCAAAGGGAAGTGTGTTGTGGCGTTAATTCCCCCAGTCATTGGTTAGTACTAACTGTGCTAATACTCTTATCTTCTATTATACAAATACCGAGAAAAGTGACACAGTTCACATTAGAAAAAAAGACCAAGGAACATTACTAGTCTACAGTAACATGTGCTAGCTGGCAAGAGTTACAGTTTCATGTTTGTAAGTTGTATGAAAGAGAAAACTGGAAAATGGATTTTGAGTTTTGAATATGTAAAATAGTAATATAAGGGATTTGGTCTCAGTGTGTCTATGGAAAAATCAGACATTATTTATAAAATTAGAAATAAATTAGGGCTGTCACTAACTTATGTTCATTAAGTTTGATTATTTTCTCAAATTGATTTAGTTTTGGTCTTCAGTCAGAAGAAGTCCATTATAGTTTGCTAGAGCCCAGGCTGATGTCCTCAAAAGTTTCTGTCCAACAGTAGTTTAGTTTATTTTGACAGAAGGCTAAGAAAACCAGCAAATATTTATAAATGTATGTACAGTGTATTTGTGAATCTGGAATCAGAGTTTTTTACCTACTACAGCTTTAAGTGTGAGACATATTAAAGCTGTAGAGCACCCAACACACACTTTACTCCCCTCTTTCGCTCTGATGCATGGGGGAATATAAAATGACTTAAATCAACTCACCTCGTTCACACATTCTTAACAAAAATGTGCATCCTGCTTCCCAAATGTTGCATTTATAATGTAGGGTAATGATTATCATTAATACTGATGTGGTTTCCATTTACTTTACGTGAAGGATTTTTTTCTGCTTTATACAGAATTGTTTGATATATAAGATGACAGTATTGCTTTCAAGTAGCATCACACCTTGCAGTTAAGTTCGACCATGTTCAGAAAGACAGCTTAAACCCAATGAAAGTCACATATATTGTCTAAAGTCTGAACCACGAAGACCACATGGATTCAATCCTATCAGCATAGATTTGAACAGTTGTAGCAAATCAATCCAAGTCCGAATTTTCTCATCACTCCAACCCGGCATTTGTCATCTTGATGCCTCATTGGTGTTTGGAGGAGAGCTGCAGTGGAGGTGTTCAGTGGAGGGGCAGTGAGGTGTGTGAAGTCAGACATCCCACACTGCGACAAAGGGAGCAGAAACCAAAATCAGAGAACATGGAGTACCAATGAGAGAGGAGGGGGGTGACAGCTGCGTCAAACAATACAGCAGATGCCACACGAGATTGGGAAGATTTAAAAAAGCAAACAGATCTGTTGCTGCCCAGCCTTCAACTCCACTTCAGTCTAGATTTTAATTGGTTGGACGAGTTGTTATTATTATTATTATTATTATTATTATTATTATTATTATTATTATGAGTACCAAAAAGCTTGCAAAAACATTAGCTTCCTCTCATTGATTTTTTCCTCTGTCTGATTATCTTCTCCTCCCTCCCTTCCAGGTACACGGGTCGGGTAGTGCATGATGTGATTAACTTGGGCTCATATAATTACCTCGGCTTCGCTGAGAACACCGGCCCATGTGCTGACTCTGCAGCAGAGGTCACTATCAAGTATGGCGTCGGAGTTGCGAGCACCAGGCAGGAGATTGGTACAAACACACGGCAACACACAAACACACACTGCTACTTCTGCTGTCACTGGAACCTAATGTATGCATAGTGTTTGGGTACAATGCAAATATCAAAAGCTTCATTTAATATCTTAGCTTTATGTCTCCTACACAGCAGACATTGATTTTCTGCATGGATGCATGATGAAACATTATGGCAATACATTTGGTGACTTTAAAGGAGCTTTGAGAGAGTGTGTTTATAGAGTTGAGTTCACCCTTAAAAAAATAGCATGACATTTTGAGAAATATTCTTATTTGCTTTCTTGCCGACAATTGGATGAGAAGATTAATACCACTCTCATATCTGTCCGTTAAATATGAAGCCACAGCCTGCAGCCAGTTAGCTTAGCTAGCAGAAAGACTGGAAACAGCTAGCTTAGCTCTGTGTGGAGGTAACAAAAAGCCGCCTTTATGCTAAGCTAAGCTAACAGACATCAGAGTGGTATTGATCTTTTTATCTAGCCCTCAGCAAGTTAGAAAGCAAGCAAGTGTATTTCTCAAAGTGTTGAAGTATTCCTTTAACCTGTTGGTTAGGAAACAGTCAATTAGCCACAAAAACAAAATGGAGAATAAAACAATGAAAATAGTCAAATTTAAAGAGATGACTCCAAACACAAAGATGGAAATTTAAACATGGACAAAATACAACATCACCCACAGAGGATGAGTCTCAGAAACGTGTACAGTTAAAAATCTGTTATCTCAACAAATATCAAACTTTCAGTTCAGTTGTAGAAAATCTGAAAGCTGTTTCCGAGGGTCTCTATTTACTTTAGATATCTGTGGCTGAGGTCAGTCTGCAGAGTGAGTCTGATAAGATCCAGATCACCCTGGAGGAAGATAGAGTTGAAGCAATGAGCTTCTCTCCTTCCACAGGGCGAAGGTCAGACCACATTCTGATAAAGGCTGTAGACTATAGAGTGTGCTCCATAAGAGATGTCAGTGGGAAATGCATATACTGCACAGTACATACACATAATCTAGCACTGAGAGTTGTGGGTCCAGCTCATGGAAGTTTGATCATTTAGGTGCTTTGAAATATTACAGCTGGCTGGTGTTATTTAGCTGCAGAAGCAGTAACTTAAAGGAGTAGTCTTAGATTTAGGTATGATAAACATGAAGCTACAGCCAGCAGGCAGTTAGCTTAGCATAATGACTGAAAGCAGGGGGAGTCCTGAGAACCTCCACAGTGACGACACGACTCCAAGAAGTCACTGCAACCGCCCAAGGAATAGTCTAAGCATGCACCCCCCCCTTAAAACCACTTGTTTTATTTAACTTTGGACAGATCAAGGTTAACTCTTTCACCCTGCTTCTATTCATTATCTAAGCTAACCATCTCCTGGCTGCTTAATATTGAATGGGCAGATGGTGTTATCAATCATGTAATTCTGAGCAAAAAAGTGAAAAGGCATATTTCCCTATACTATTAATATTCTACTACTATTCCTTTCATTTTTAACTGCGAGTACAGATCTTTGAGGTTCTGATTGGTATGTGTTTATGGTGATCTCCTGTATGTCTGCACCTCAGGTAACCTGGACAGACATGAGGAAATGGAGAAACTGGTGGCTAAGTTCCTAGGTGTTGAGTCAGCCATGGCGTTTGGGATGGGGTTTGCAACAAACTCCATGAACATACCGGCACTGGCTGGCAAGGTAAGACAACAGTTTTGTTTCCTTGATCGAGCTGTGATTTATTCTTGCAGCACACTTTCCCCCTCCACTTCTTATCTCCGCTCTTTGGCTTGCTATTTGTGTCAGACTTACTTTATCTTGTCGCAGCACTTTCTTTCCTCTTTTTCCTCTCTCTCCGTCTGTCCTCTGTCTCACTCACTCTCTATATTATGGGAAGTTGGTATTAGTGTATGCACCCATGTTTAATTGCCAGTGATGAAAAAGGTTTTCTACCGGGCACTTTTGTGGCACTTTTAGCTTTAACAAAACTGTTCCGTAACATTACGCTATGGCAGGTCACCAGTAGCACCAAAAACAGACACCAAACTCTGCCCTCCTATCAGGAAGAAAACACTTCCTGTTGGCATAGGCAACTGATAGATCGACTGCATGTCGGAGAGAAAAATAACAAAGAGTTCAGACCAGTCTGTTTGGTCATGTTACTGCTGATGTTGTTTTACAGGTAGATATTTTCACAACATAGCTGATTTCCACTGGTGAGAGGAAACCAACCGCTCCTGCTTTAAATTCTTCTTTTTTTTTTTTTTTTTTCTTTAAATGGAAGAAAAGAGACTAGGAAGGAAGGAAGACTTATTCAGATCCTTTACTTGAGTAAAAGTATGTCAGTACTATCAGCAGAATTCACAGAGTAGTCAGACAGTGCAAACTATACAGCAGCATTCTCATTGTAATTATCTCAGCACAGATCATTACACATAAACATGAAATGATACTCCACCCAGTCACCGAACCCACCAACCAGTGAAAAATATGTATTAAACAGATTTTAGGTAGGTCTGTATGTGTCTGTACACTGTGTGCTACTTCAGATGGATTAAAACAAATCAGATGTATGAATAATTCATGCATATTAAATTTGGTCTGGTGTGCTGCAGGGCTGTCTGATTCTGAGTGATGAGCTGAACCATGCCTCTCTGGTCCTGGGAGCCCGACTCTCCGGGTCTACCATCAGAGTCTTCAAACACAACAGTGAGTCTGTGATAACAAATGGGTCCCACTTACGTATAAGTATGTCTCCTACCTGCGTTTATAAGAGCTATTCAGTCCCAGAGTTTAAATGGTTTGCCTTTATCTTCATTCATTGCTTCTTTTTTTTTTGTCTCTATAGCTCTTATTACCTCATCATCCCATACAATATCTCTTAGATACTATATCACATACTTAGAGTGATAGTGATTTTGGTACTCATCCTGCCATGTGCTGCATGTCACCGCCGCGGTAATCAGTGATCTATAAAGTGGAAGATATACAATGCAGACACACACTATTGGAGAGTTGGCTCTGGATTTTATGTCTCTGTTTATATTTTGTATCATAATTTGAAGTTAGCCAGATGTTCCGTACTAAAACTGTTAATCCTTAAAAAAAAAAAAAAATTAGCTAGTGTTTTTTGCTTTTTGCTTTTTGCTTTTTGGAAGCAATAGACCTTTTTGATTTCCGTTCTTTTGACCCTAACCCTAACCCTAACCCATTGGAGGAAAAGCACAGGTGTGAATTTTAATTTCTCAAGGACAGTGCATATTAATAAACACTGTTGTAAATGTGCCAGCATTTGACAAAAGGCTAGTTTCCATCTGTAGTCCCTGACCAGGTGTAAAACTTGGCAGCTTGTTAGCTAGCTGCTAATGGCGGCTCACATACTCAATGCACGAACTAAAACCATATTGAGTATATTTATGGGCTAACTCATTAAGTGGCTCTTGCTCCAATGGAACATAAAATGCATTCATTATAATGTGTAATAACTTGTGTATGTAATTAGTTGTAAAAAATGAATAGCCACTAATTGTTAAATAGCCATTATGCTAACTAGCTGCAGCTTGGCGCCGCAGTTACACACACATACAAACATTGTTTGTTTTGTCATTTTTTAACAGATAATCTGGTTGGATTAGTGGATAATCCAGCTGGGTGGGTTTCTAATATACAATAATGATACTGCTGAGTAAGAAGCTTTCTGCTTAATGCTAATCACTATGTTGGCATAATTAGCAGCTAATGGTTAGCAACCAGCCTTTTCACCTCTGGCCACCAGCTAACTAGCCAAAAGTCCTCAGTTTGCCACTTATGAGTAGAAATTGACAAGCAACTGGTTCAAAGTCAGTTCACTAACTTAAATGTATCTTATCCTGCCAGCTACAGCCACAAACAAAAAAACTCATTTTAATTTGAAAATCTTAATTTGAAAGTATATATTGTTTGGGGTTTTCTTTTGATTGTTTCTGCTCCAACGCAGAGCCCCAGAACAGTTTATAGAAGAATCTGACTCCGTTGGATTATTATGTTTTTAATGTAACACTGAATTTTCAGTAGTGTGGGCATCCTCACGCTTTGTTTGGAGGATGTATTGAAACTTTCTCACTTTCTTCTAATGAATTTCCATCTGCAAGTGTTTCTCTGTGTGGTTTCTGCCACAACTTTCATTTTGAGTGTAACACTGTCTTGATCTTTCCTGGCAGACATGCAGAGCCTAGAGAAACTGCTGAGAGAAGCCATAGTTCACGGGCAGCCCAGGACTCACAGACCATGGAAGAAGATCCTCATAGTGGTAGAGGGCATTTACAGGTAGCTTATCTATTTGCTAAATGTTTAAATATAAACTTTCAGTGCACAGTAAGGCATTTTAAGTTTTATTTTTCCGTTTTTTAATTGGTTTCTAAGCTTTAAAAGTGGTTGTGCCAACACAGCTGAGATGTGCTGAGAGTGAGTTCATGGGCAGTGACCTCAACGTTTCTTTGCTGCTATTGGACAAAAGCAGCAGAACAATAGGCGTTGCCCACTTGAAAATCCCCATGATTTCCTTCCTAGTTTCAATATGAACACTGCCAAACCTCAACTGCACAAGCAGTAGTTTCACCTGAACTCGTGCAGTGGAACAGATTTTACCTAAAAGTTCTATATTGAGCAAACGCAGTTTAGCTATTTTAGCTATTTCAAATGCACTCAAATTCAATCTAATTTCTTACTTTTTAAGCTAGTTTTCTGTATCAGCTTTACAATCAGGCATAGCATGCTTCAAAACAGGCTTCCAGAAGCAGCACTTATCTTTTATCGATGGTTGATGCGGTTCCATTTGGTTCAGCAGTATCAACTCTCCTGGGACTGGATTGCTGGTTGACAGAGCTGATTCAGTGCTTGGTTAGCTCTTACTGGTTGAACACATAGTGAGCAACTTTGATGTTTTACTTTATTCTGCCAGATTGGGAGCTGCACTCCATAGTAATCTGCAGCTACGAGATGCAAGCATATCATGCCCTTTTTTCCTGCTCTGGTGTTTCATGTGTCATTGTTGTGTTATACCTTTTTATATGTTGATGTAATATTTGAGACTTTGAGACATCCAGCTGTCATTCCGATAAAGTCTGTTCAGCAGGTCCCAGCGTAGACCTTGAGTGAGGAACAGCTAGTGCGCACTTCAGCTCATATTTCCTGGGTTGCTGGCAAAGAAGCGAACACATCAGGATGTTTTGACACTTGCTGTAACATCTTCTACTTTCCCTTTTTCTGCTTGCAGCATGGAGGGCAGTGTAGTGCGCCTGCCAGAAGTGATTGCCTTGAAGAAGCGCTACCGGGCCTACCTTTACCTAGACGAGGCCCACAGCATAGGGGCCCTGGGGTCGAGAGGGAGAGGTGTGGTCGATTACTTCGGCCTAGACCCCTGCGATGTGGATGTCATGATGGGTACATTTACCAAGAGCTTCGGCGCTGCGGGGGGATACATCGCAGGGAAAAGGGTGAGAAAGGAGGATTTTAGGGTTTTGATTGGCATTTTGTTTGTTTTTAGAGGATGAGTTACAGAGAAAGGTGTAAGCCTGTGGCAGAATAGAAGTCAAGCTCTTGTCATCACAAGGCATGGATAAATATCCAGTTAAGTAGCCCAGTCCTTAGTTAAAAAAAAAATTCCTCAAGATCAGTGGCAAATTCATTTTTTTTTTATAAAGGACACCTGTCATCTCAGCAATGTGGATTTACAGCCCGCAGTGGGTGTATGCCACATACCTGACATATCACTGAGAGGGCATCGGTTTGTCAAAACTGCAGCATTGGTTCAGAGAAATCCTGACTTCAAGACATAAACAACTTTTTTTGTCTCCAGGACATATTGAAAAGATTGTTGAGGATTCTAAACTAGGTCCCAGCAGACAAGTTTAAAATGAGTGGAGAAACTGCCTCTTGTCATCTACTGTCAGCACCTGCACTACGTTATCTCAGTAACTCTTTCCTAGAAATGTGTCATCAAGTTACAGGTTGTATTGCATTGGCGTAGATGGATGGTAGTTTAAAATCTTCTAGAAGTGAAAACGAAAAGTCTGTGGGTCAGTTTTGATCAGAACTACATTACATTTTCTGTACAACTTTACTGTCTCACATGCAGTTTGCACTGGATGTCTGTTATTTTAAAACAGTATATTTTCCATGATATTTCTAAAAATGAATGATTATAACCAACTACAAAGATTTTTTTATGTGAATGTAGGGTCATGCTCCTAAAGTAAGCTGTAAGCCTCAGTTACAAAGCGCCCTGAACTCTCTATGGTTGTAGCGACTGTAGATTAATTAAAGCTCTTCATGCATATCTACTTACATCTCCTGTGTATCTGCTGGGTTTAGGAGCTTATTGAGTACCTGCGCTCCCATTCCCACAGTGCGGTCTACGCCACCTCCATGTCTCCTCCTGTGGTGGAGCAAATCATCACTTCTATGAAGTGCATTATGGGAGAGGATGGCACAACGATCGGTGAGTGGTACAACAATATTAAGGCTATTAAGTGTTTCACCTAGTGGGGCTTTAATGAGCGGGTCCCCGTTTTGTTTTTTTGACTCCTTGTTCACTGCATTTTCATGTGAGTTGTGGGTGTGTCAGTATGTTTTGCCAGGTCCCCATGCTCTGTACCTTTTCTGACATTAAACAATTTGTACACTCATCCTTTAATGGGGTCCCTAAAGTGGGTACAAATGAATTGATAGAGCATCTCTTTGCGGATGTGTCTTTAAAATATTAACTGTGGCAAACCAGAATGAGTCTCCTCATACCCCAACCACAAAAAGAAGCCCCTTGATGTAATTAGAAAGAAGCTACAGAAGTAAATATTGTGCTTAGGAGAGTTGCTTTTATTAAAATAGCATCAAATGCTTCAAAGTAGCCCACCCGCTCACACAGTACCGTTGGGTTGCGTGAGGTTAATTTATCATTTCAAAAGATAGAAGAGCAGCTCGACAAGGTCAGACATCTTACTCTTCAGATTCATGAAGCAGCAGACACCAACAAAGACTAAACATTTATAATAATATAATAATAACAAATGAACTAAGAGTATCTGGTTTGACAGTATGGAGTAAATCTAAGCTTAGCTGCTGTAATTGTCACCGGGTACCACCAGGTGTCAGTGCACACTAATGAAATCGAAGACTTCTCAGAGACCAGTTACTCCTCAAAGAGAGTTGAAGCTGCACTGGTTTTCTGTATAGTAAATATTATCTGTACATTTGTCTGGATTACACCACTGTGACATCTGATTTTCTCATTGCTGGTGAATGGTGTTTTTATTATAATAAACAGTGACATCATTTAATATAATAAATTAATAAAATAATTAATAAAACTTCCAGTGTGACTGACTGAACCCGATCTGTGAACAAATCCCATCTTGTTCATTGGCAAAACCTAACCTCAGTTGTGCTCCTAAGTTTAATATCTGTTACCCAAGTTTAAACAAAACCTTTAGGTTGGAGTTTGTTATGGATGGTACACAGCCTGGGAGGAAAAAACTGCTTGAGGAGCTTGTAGTTAATCATGTTCTCCTGCTGTCCCAGGCAGTGGCAGAGTTAAAGAAATATTCTGTCTGGAGGGTGGCATGGAGACTTTAACAGTTGGCAGAAATATATACTGATTTAATCACAATGTTGATGTTTACTTGGGAAAGCCCGCATAAAGATATTTCAACTCATATTTCAAAACATGACAATATTGTCAACATTGAATATAAGAAAGTTAAAGGCAGCCTTAGAAATAAATAAATGTGTTATTTCCAAATCTTCTGACAGTTTTCCTCCATTTGGAACTTATCACTTAGACAGAACAGATCATTAAATTAATTTACATTTGTAACACCTTATTTTTAAAAATGTATCTAAATTAATGTGTTAAATCTAACAGCGTTTGATACCAAATTGGGGTGGCGACTGGGGGTAACCAGGCATTTTTCTACCACCCCTCTAGATCCACCTCTGGCCCCAGGTGTAAATCAGTACTGGATCTGTGACATAGTCAGACCCCTCCATCTTAGTATAATACCTGTCTAAAATTATCCTTAAAATAACTTGCAAACACAGTAAATTATATTTCTTTATGAATGAATGGATGTGGGGTGGCTTTTAATTGGTGGAGCCTCTGCATTCGGCTCTACTATTTCAATGCTTTGTGCTGTGTAACCCTGAAAAATGCTTCATTTTCGCTTCTAACACAGACTCTATTTTTCATACGGTATTTTCAATAATCTGTATGTGACAGCTTTTTCTGACTAGTTGTGAACCAAACATGCGAGCAAACTAACAGAGCGTGCAGTCTTGTGTTTGATGCAAACCGAAGAACCCAGTAAATCTCCTGTTCTCCTGGGGGAGGAGGAAACATTACAGAGAAACTAAAAAGCTGATCTCCCAGCGGTGCCTGGATGCTGTAACACTCGCTCATGAATGTGATTGTTCTCAGCTGCTTGTCAACCTTCTTTTCTCATCTTTTCAAAGCATCATCAACCGAGCTCTAAATAACTTTTTTTTTTTTTTTTTTTTCCCCTTACCAGAAAGATCAAATCTGGTAAAGAAATCAGCCCTTTTTTGTTAACTTCCAGTATTAAATTGTACTGAGCAGAGATTGCAGGCATTCAGTTCAGCACTAAAAATAAACTGTACATTAACAACACAACACATTTACATCTAAATGACCTGGTAAACAACGCTGTAAATAAACTAGATGATCATTAAAAAGTGTGTTTGGGCAACTTTTATTGCATTTGCTTCTAACTCTCATGTTTCCTGTCCTCCCAAGGCCTTAAACGCGTGCGACAGCTGGCAGAGAACACAGTCTATTTCCGCAAGAGGCTTCGAGAAATGGGCTTCATCATCTACGGCAACATGGACTCGCCTGTCGTACCCATGATGCTCTACATGCCCGCCAAGATAGGGTGAGCCTCGAGCTTTGACTGGCTGCTGTTGGTAGACTTTAAGGATGTTCTTATTTATAGTATTTATAGTAATATTTCCATTACTAACATCATACTTAACAAAAGAAAGTATGTGGGCCGGAGGGAGGGGGATGGGGGTCTGGATATGTCGCCCTGGCTGGCAGTTTGACAGCCCTTCCTTAGAGGCCAATTTAATATATTTTGATAGGTGCTGAAAGCTAGTACTTGCCGTGGACATCAGTATTGTGTCCTTGTGTCATTTTTTGCTGTGTCTCCTCATGTTTGTCCCACCAGAGCTTTTGGCAGGGAGATGTTGAAGAGGAACATCGGGGTGGTGGTTGTAGGCTTCCCAGCTACACCCATCATCGAGTCCCGGGCGCGCTTCTGCATCTCAGCCGCCCACACAAAAGACATGCTCGACAGGGTGAGTAACTGCTCTCACAGCTGAGCAACATACATTTTGTATCTCATTTACACGGATCAGCTTTTTTAAATGCTTAAGAACTGGACAGTTTATGTTCTTTAGTCTGAAAAAGAAAAAGCTTTTCCACTGCACAAACCTGTTAAATCATGGCTTCTAGAAAATTGCTACAAACACGGCAGGTATCTCTCACTGGTGAAGCTAGTGCTGACCTATGATCTTCTCCAGCTCCTATACACTCCGCACCTTGTGCAAATCCTGCTGCGTTTTTCTTTTAGCCTGCAAATTTATTGATGTTGACTAGTCTGGCGTAGCTGGATCTCACTGTGCTCTGCTCATACAGGAGAAAAGTCAGGGGGATGTCATAATTGTTCATTGAAAAACACACTCTGGGTTATTAGAATTAGTCGGTATTGTGAGCCCCAAGCCTTACTGAACTACCCTCACTGGTGCTTTTGCTAAATATAGTCCCAGGGGGCTATGACTAATTATAAGACTTGTGCACAAAGTAAGTTTTTGCATATAGCGTGTTAGCTGAATAATTGCTGTTAAGTCAAAAAAGAGGGTGCCAGTGCCAAAAGTCTACCACTGGCGGGCTTATGTGAGCGAAATGGGCTGGTTCTAGCTGAGGCTGACTTTTGTTCGAAGTTATACTCCTTAAAATAGGGCCCTCCTGTTTTCAAGTTGGTGTAATGACCTTCAAGTTAAGCCAAGAGACCATAATGAGGCTGCAGTAGGTAACTTAGACAACACAACATAGACAATGCAAAAACCTTCTGTGTCTCTCTCTGCTGCTTGTGTCTCCCAACTAAGCTCCTCCCACCAGCCATCTAATGGGTGGGGAAACTGTAATTGGAAGGACACAGATGTGATCTCTTGATCTGCTACTGCATGCTAGAAATGTGTGCTACTGGAGGTCTATTTTTGTCACTTTAGATGCACTGAATCCCTCCCAGCAGTGTGTCTGACATCCCGACAGCAGAGGCCACCAAAGTAGACGAGTCAGTCTCTCTGAGCCTTGGGAAAAGTTCAATCGAAGTGAGACAATGCAAAAACTACGGTAAAGTGTCAGCCGGATCACTCTGGAGGTTAATGTACAGTGCATTCACAGTGCGTTCCCTGAGTTTAGAGTTCAGTCCTCCTATCTTACCATCCTCTTTACTCAGTGTGTTGCTCTGCGTAAGTGCAGCCTGTTCCGCTTTGATTGCTCTTGGCAACGCATCAAAAAGCCGCCCACTCTTCTCAATGAGGGCTCTTTTACAATACTGAGCTCACTGCAGACCTGCCCGCTCTTCGTCTTCTAGTCTCCATCTCAAACATCCAGTCTTTTTCCCGTTTTAACCTCTGTGTAGATTGTTTCATGCAGCGGGCAAACTTTCTCCTATCTAATTGGGGTGTCCTTGTGGTTCAGTTGGCTCAGATGCAAAACTGTGTCTCCAGGAAGTGCTACTGTATCAGGGGCTGTTACACACTCATATTCTTCCTCTTGCCCTTCAAAAAAATAAATAAATAAATACAGTGAAGACAGGGAGTGGGAGTATTGTAGTGCTGTAGTGCTTTTATCTGTCATGATGTTAAAATCTCTCTTTGTTAGTCTCCCTCTCTGTATCATTCTCTCGCACTTTGATGTGTCATGTCAATTTGTGTGTTGCTTTCATCTACTGGTGAGCTTTCGCAGTTTTTGCCTTCTCATTCAAACATACCCACACATAGACACCTAAACCCTAAATTCTTTTATTATTGTTCTTCTGAAGACCTTTCATTTCTCTGTCCATGTTAATATCCCAACCCTGCAACCTTAAGCAAATGTTAAATCACGCTAATATACACTGACTTTCCGAAGAATAGACCAAGAAGACTTCATTTGTGGCCAGTGGTCTAATTATGCCATTCAAATGCGTTGCATGGCAACAGTAGGACTGACATAGATGCATACAAAGTCAATCGAAAGCAAGAGTAGAGATTCATAGATGCAAACATACTATAAGTGCCACAACTGAGGTGCAGCACAAACCTGCATTCTATGTAAAAGCCAGCAGGGGGAGCTCCATTGGCTGCAATAAAAGACAGATACCATTCACTCTAATGGAGAATGAGCCGACTTCTCCCTTCATTTATTGGCTCAGTTAACAGTTTCCTAATGAGTTTATGGTCTCAGTCGCTTGTTTCAAGTCTTCTTCCATACATTGTGAAGTTCATTTTGTAAATTTTGGTCCAATTTAGAGTAAAATAGACCTAGCTGCATATGCTTTTGGGTGTGGCTACCATATGATTGACAGGTCACTCTCAGTGAGTTCGTCCAGCGTCCAAACTGTCAAATTAGGCAGTGCTGATTAAATACGAAGCACGATTATGTTATGCATTGCCTATTTCTTGCTTAAAATTGTTTCAGAAACATATTTTCAGTGTACTATTTAGCTCCATCTATCATGGCGACGGCCAAAACGGCAAACTCGAGGCTTCAAAGCGGTACTCCACAAACCAGTAGGTGACGCCACCATAGGTTCACACTCTAAAGTGATTGCTCTCAAAAGTAACAAACTCACAGAGATTGATCACCTGACTCTGCAGGTCTCCTTAGCTCTGTGGAGCTTTTAAGCATTTTAGCTCATTGTTTTGGTTTTGCGTACCATAACTTTATTGTTCTGGCTCAGTCTCACTGCTCTCATTAACCTTGTTTTTGGATGCAGCTGGCAGCCACTTCAGAAAATAAAAAGAAACCAACTTTATGCTACCTGCTCAGCACTAAACGGCAGACAGACACAGTTAGCAACTATCTTTGAGCATAGCAAATGTTGTAAATATTGTTTCAGGAAGAAATCTGCATGACGCAGCAAAGTAAAACTTCCAGTTCCCAGAAACATCAAATTTCATTAAACTTGTTTGTAACATTGTTGTGCTACATAAATGAAGCGTATTACTATGACATTATTATATTCAAAATACTTTACGAAAAGAAACGAAACCAGACAGCACTTAATCAGTCTAAACATGAGTTGTTCCTCATTAATACACCCTCAACACGCACAAAACTGTCAGTCTGCTCTTAAATTACCATATATTAATGCTCTGCTCATGAGGAGACATTCTGTTCTGGAAAAGAGGCCCAGTTTGGATGATTTATGGAAGAGGCCCATGAAACTCAGATGGAGATCTCCTGTCTCTGTGACCAGTTGCTGTGTTTACCATAAAGGGTGATGTTGGTGTAGAAATCAGATTGTTGCTAGAACCTGGAAGCTTTCTATAGGATATGGCCATCATATGTGGTTTCTTGGTTTGCTGGAATATTATGAGAGTGAACTTTACTTGTTGCTTGCTGTGATAAGGCATTGTCTCCTACACCCCATTTAAAATGCAATCGGTATCTGGACACGTTATCTTGATAATAAACGATCTGAGCTTGCTGTGCATTTGCCCCTGGTGTTTGTCATGCGTTCTCGTTATCCTCATTGAGATCGGATCTCTGTCGTCCAGAGCAAAACCTGTGAGTGAGTAATTTGAGCTGCGGCAAATCAGCACCAGACTCCCTTTTGTGAGTTGTTGAGTTAGGGGAAACTTTATAAACTTTGTGAAACGCTGCCTATGACAAATTCTTGATTAATTGTGCCCTCTTGTAAATTCAGCAGATATAATCCTTTATTTGTATAAATAATGTGTCAGTTTGTCCTGGTGTGTTGCAGTAACAGTGTGTAGGCTTATCTGTGTCTTCATATATTATATGCCCTGTTAACAGCAGATCAGCTCAGAGATGATTGCAACACACACTGTTGCACACAGTTATATCTTAATGTAGCTATATAATTTATTTCACACCTGTATTGCTTTCATTTTTCATGCAGTTTTGTTGAATAATGCATCTTTTGGCTAGAATAAATCGATAATTAGAGGCATGTCTGTTTCAGCCTACTCGCTTGCTTGCTCGCTCTGTAAATTTGAACAACTTAGATTTTATGTTAGCTAAAAATAAGGATCTGTATCAGTATTGTGTACAGATGCCAGCGCGTTGTATCGATTTAGTTTACACCTACCTGAGATCCACATACAGCAAGACTACCTCCAGATGTGGTGAGGCAGGACTGATCATGACTCATTTACACCTTGCATTAACATGCGTTCTTCCTTATCTGGATAACACGTCTGGATGCTGATCTCATGTTAATACTAGGTGTAACTGGGGTGATATTGTACAATAGTGTCACATGTTACCTTTATTAATATGTTAATATGAGTCACCCTCAAGTCATATTGTTGTTGCTGACAATTATATTAATCAGGGATCATGCACTTTTAAGACTGAATATCTTCTTTTTTTGTTTTTTAGAGTTTTTTTAGAGTTTTAGCCAGAATGAACACTTGCTGCTGTTTAGATGACATATCTGTATGAACTTGTTGCCTCCTGTGCCCTAACAAGATGTCGTACTGGTGACTTCACCTCACAGCCAAGTAATAGGAATGAAAAATTTGAAAGATTTGGTCCATCTGTAGCATAGCAAGTTTGAATTAATCTTACAAGACAGGTGTGTTTTTCCATAAAAAATCTTGCTTGGTGCAGCTTTAAATTTGCTCGAGCCGCATATAGCCCATCATGGTGACAGCTTTTTTATTGTATGAATGTCTCCACAGGCGCTGAGCGTCATCAGCGAGGTAGGAGACCTTCTTCAGCTCAAGTATTCCCGACACAGAATACAGCCGTCTTTGGCGCGGCCCTTTGACAATAATGTGTATGAGGACATTGACGACTGATGAACCGCTCCTCTCCTGAAGTGGCATGAACCTGAACAACCCCAGAAAATACAGAACGGGTCAAGATGGATCACAAGTCTTCCACAAGGACCGAGACGTGCACAGGTGCCCCTTGTCACTAGCTTGCCATAATGTAACCCCCCTCAACAAAAGGAAAAACACTTAAAACTATTCTCTAATTCTACTTTGCCTTACCTAAACATGCTGAACTTGCAGTGAACACACTGAAAAAACAGCACGTCTGCTTTTTCCTGTGTACTTTTATTACATTTTATCATTTCAGGTCTAAGAATTTTCTTTATTGACTTGTAAGTGTGTATGTCTGCAGTGCTCGTAGCACTCGCTGTGTTAAGCCTTGTGTATGTGAAGTGGACAATGTCAACTTTCCAAATGTCTCTGAAATTGTGAGCTGCTGGTTTTTTCTTTGTTTTGGGCGGGGGGGGTCAAATATGGATCTAAACTGAACTTTAATGGGGTAAAGGTTTATCACTCGTAAACATTAATCAAAAGAACAAGACATGTTTGTTCATCCAGTCTCGTTCAGATCAGTGGCCAAAAAATAGAAATCACTGGATGTTGCACAGTGACCACATTTCATCCTTGTCTGTCTGTCAGTAAGATAACTTTATTTTAAGGATTATGTAATTAATGATCCAAATCTGGATGTTTTGCAATTTGCTGATTTTATTGTTTTTTTGTTTTTTTTTTTTAATTCTTAAACATTACAACCCCAACATCCACCTGGCATTGCTTTGGGACTTGTTTTTGGTGGCAGTGCACATTCTACATGACGACGTCTGTTTTTTTTTCTCTCCAGGAAGTAGGACTAGTGAAAAGTAAAAGCCCTGCTAATTCCAGCAGGGATTTTTAGACGTGGAGTCAAGTCAGGTTCAAGGAGCAGTACAAACCGTACTGCTTGACTTGAGCCAACTGAAATTGTGATTGACATTACATTGTTGTCCATCCTTGGTTCTTCTAGACAGGCTAAAAATGTAACATCAGAGTTAAACATGGCATTTTCATCAACAGTGGTATTGATGAAGCACTACAAAATATGCCAAAGTTAGATGACGTTGAACAGCAGATCATTACCCTAAACAGTGAATGCAGTGACAGAAATAGTTTGGCATTTTGGGAAATATGCTTTTTCCTTTTCTTTATCCTTAGAGTTAGATGAAAAAACGAATACCATTCTGCTGTCTGTAAAGTAAATATGAAGCTGCATCCAGCAGGTGCTTAGCTTAGCCTACCCTGAAGGGACATCGTTCTAGCCAGTAACTCTCCATAAAACCACACATTTTTATTTTCACATTTTGGCTTCTGTACCAATTAAACAAACGCCTTCCTCTGTTTCCAGTTATTTATGCTAAGCTAAGCTAATTGGCCATACAGGTACAAGAGTGGTATTGATCGTCTCAGCTAAAACAAAAACAAAACACCCAAAATGTCAAACTATTCCCTTTAATTCAGGTCAGTGGGATGTTAAATGTCTAATGCTTTCTGCAGCAAGCTAATGTACTTAGTATAATTAGGATTCATAAAAGCCATGAAAAACCCATGAAAACAAAAAGTCATGAACTACAGCTTGAGAACTTTATCTGCCTAAACTAACACCAGCTCTGGGTCGGTAAAAAGTGCCAAATGGAAATGGAGTCGAAGTACTTGTGAGCATGTCATTAACCATGTTATTGTAGCATAAGAAAGTAAATTGCCCACACACAGAGGAATATCCCTATGCTGCATATCTCCAGCAATCAGATATCATAGCATTTGCTAAATCTATCAAAATAATCCAACATATCTGGATACATTCCAAATGCAAAATGTAAAAGACTATTAGTAATGTAACACTCACAAAATGGACAGCTAATTAGCCAGATTGCATCTTTTGTTGGGTAATTAAATTATCCATTTGGATATTTTTGTTGTATCTCCATTAATTATAGTATTTTGTCTTTTCCAGTGGCATCATTCAAGTAAATTGAATTGAATTATAACGTGTAGGATTAAGTAGTGTCTAATGGTGTAGTTGCAGATTGCAACTCCCTCATTTCACCCCCCCTTCCGATCGCGAAGGAGAAAATACAGTGGCCGTGCAATGCGCAAAAAACGCAAACAGCCATATCTAGAGCCAGTGTTTGGTTTGTCCATTCTGGGCTACTGTAGAAACATGGTGGTACAATAGCAATGGTAGCCTCCATGGAAGGTGACCTAAAAAGCTGACTAAAAACAATACCTGTTACGTTACCTTTATGAATGGTAACTTAAGAAAGCAACATTGTAATTGAAACGACTAAATCACAGCTGCTGTAAAAGAATGGAAAGAAATGTCTGAACTTTGAGTAGGGAATTTAATTCCTAATCGTCTGTTACTCATTCATTTGGTCAGCCTCATGTTCCCACAGCTATGTTAGATATCACCATTAATGCGTGATAGTATGTGTTGGTACTTGACCAGCTTAGTGTGTTTTTGTACAGTTTAATGTATCACGGACGACCTCAAAGATCAAGTTTAACATGACTCGCAGCCTATGAGGCCAAAAGTTGTCAAATTAGTCTTTTTTATTCAAAGGCCAATTTCTGCCCAATACAAAGTCCAGTGTATTGGCATCAAAGCTCCAGTTAAAAGCTAAAGTCTAAAGGGTCAGTTTAGTTCAGGAAGTGTAAAAAAGTTAAATTATATTTAGATACTTATATCTTCAGGCCAGACAGGAGAAGATCTAACCTAGTCTGGATGTGATTCAGCACCATTTGTAATATCCTTCATTTCCACCCTATCTCTTGGGTGCTTATAAGTAATAACCTTATTGCTTTGTGTTTGATAACACTGTTTTAATGCCTTGTAAAGCAAAGTGCTATCTCTGTGCTGTGACTCAAAAGTCATTAATAACTTAAATCAGTGTGACTGGGGCTCGGATTGTGGGCTTGCTTGCATGGTTTCGGGCAATAATGTGTTCATTACTGCACTTTTACCTTGCTTTTCTTCCGTATACACACACCTGTCTTTTAAACTCTTGGTTTATCTTTACATTGTGCTACTGAGCTTTGGGACAACAACAGTCCTAAATGAAGGCAGCTGTAAAAAGCAAAAGAAAAGAAAAATCCCACATGCATACATTCCCTCTTGCACGTATGCACTGACAAGTATTGTGTTACCACTCGTTCCTCATACTACTGCATGTACAGTAAGAGTTAGTCATTGAAGCTGCTCCGCACCACAGCCGGTGGTGCTCAATGATATACACTGTTCTGCTAGATGTGATTGATTGATTGTTGTCATAAAAATCCACTTCATTCCAGAGAAAGTTAGTATATCTGTCTGGGCTCTCGGGAGATTCTTCTTCTTTTGTTCTTTCATATTAATGTTTGTCTGTTACTGTAAATGAGAGGTGTTGGTGTTATTTAGTTCCCTTACTGTAGAAAAGGTCTCAAAACCTGAATCCTGGGATTACCAATGATTGTCCAATAGCTAAAAGCTAAGAGTTACAATGTTACTCATAGGTGCAGAATGTCTTTTTATGTATTTTTAAGTTTGCACACAGGAAAGTCATCAAATGATAATAAAAGCAGGCATTTTTTTAAATATATATATATATATATATATATATATATATATATATAAAACCCCAAGACCTTATGGTCTGATGTCTTAATGATGCTATTCTCAATATGAAGTTGATCAATACAGTACCATCAAAAGTATTGGTACTTGATGAACAATAACCAGATATTTACAACACTTTGAAGAATAACGTATTTGGTCTTGGATGGTCTATCCATGAAAACTGCTGTACCTTACCAAGGGGAATTATTAAACCACTTTGGTCTTAAAAAAAGAGATTCCCAAAGGCAGAAAAACCTTGATGGCTTTTTAAGATCTATGAGCTTTCCTGGTGTAGGATGAAATATAGTCCCAATATTTTGTACAAAGTTTATATTGTTTCATTGAAAAGGAGCTATTCAGAATATTTTGTTTACTATAGGGTAAACCGGGAATGATGGTTATCACTATTACTGGCAGCGTTTGTTTTAACTGCTAGAGTGTGCCAATAATAGATGCAATCACTGCAATGGTAGAGGGCAAGTTACCACACATCAGAGATGATTATTTTCTGATATAGTGCCTTTTGAAGCATTTTCTAAGAATTCTGATTATAGTAAGTGTCATAACTTGTTCATTTTTACAATCTTATTTGACTTCTTTTACTACTTTGTCTGCAACAATATTTAAAATTAGCACTGGATGTGTTCTCTATGTTGACTAATTGCCATGCATTTGATCATAGAAAAATGCACAATTTGCAACGTATCAGCAAATTAATAATATGTAAAGTGTCACCTATGTCAATGGTATCAGTAGGTCATTAAAACAATAAAAACAAAGCTGTTCTGAATTGCCTTCAATTTTCTTCAGATTCATGTTTAATGCATCTAGCTGCTGCCTTCTCTCTTCTTCCTGCTCACCATTCAGACCAACCTAATAAACAGGCAAGTATGTTTCACTCCGTGAGTCTATCACCATATGAATAGAAATTGTTGTTTTATATGTGATGGGGGTGTGTTCATATTCATCAGTTGTGAGGTTCAAATATTTTAGATGATTTGCATACTGGCACTTAATGCATGTTCCACAAACTTCAATGAAATTGTACATTATAAAGTGGGACATCAAATTTATATCAACAGATCAATTTCCAAAAAATGTCCAACTAATTTGATGCTTTCTTTTACTTTTTGACTACAGCCCTATATCAGTGTGACAAATTAACATGCCAGGGCCCCGCCCTGGATGCCAGAATAACAGCAATAACCTAAGACAGTGTTATTTTTAAGGCCATAAGTTAGCATATCATTGGCTAACATTACTTTTTTGGGTTACAGGTTACATTAAAGAAGGCTGCTTCACAACTAGGGCATCCTCTGTAGCCATATCTTGTTGCTATAGTGTAGATCAGTTACTTGTACCCCACGGGGTACTTTAACTATGGACAAGTGGCACATGGAGAGATTAAAGATCAATTATATTTGGGGGGAAATGGATAATTTCTTTAAAACAAAAACATACATGCATCATACATTTAGCTCAGGCCCCCCTCTATGAGACAGGGCCTCAACATTGTATGGGCAAGAAGGCAGTCTTGCCTTAAAATCTATTGATTTACTGGTACACAGTATTAGCAAACAAATGGGCAACTGGCTGTTTACTAAGCCTTGCCCATCCTCCAGGCTATTAAAAACACACCCAAAACAGTTGAAAAAGAGAGTTGCTATACAGTAGTTCCAAACATATTTGCACTGTCAGCCTGTTAAATAAATATTAATGCATAATGTGCATTGATTAGAATGTTATCCTAAAGTGATCTTATATTAAGACATTCACATAAACATGCATAACAAGTGAATATCAATGAATGCCAACAATTGTCCAATTGAAGCCAAGAAAGAACTAATGGAGGTAACCAACAAAACATAGGAGCTCTATCTGGGAGATGGTAGATAGGTTTCCCTTGAATGACAGTCTTCAAAGAAACTCATTCAACCTCCTACAAGCAGGGTTGGATAATGGTCCCATGAAGCCCCAGGGCATGTGTCTTTTTGAAGCCCCTTCCCACCCAGCTCAGAGAACTGTGCATCCTGTTTGCGTATCTTGTACACTCATTGGCAGATCAGAGTGTAAAGACTGTCAGACACACCAATACAACATGCGTTTGGACTGTAGAGAGTGTCCCGCAAATGTCCTAAATTCTACTTTCAACGTTCTCAGACTTAAAGGTCCAGTGTGTAACATTTAGGAGGATCTATTGGAAGTAATGGAATATAATAGTCATAGGTATGTTTTCATTAGTGTATTATTACCTGAATATAGGAAAATGTGTGTTTTTATTACCTTCGAATAAACCGTTTTTAATCAGTCACCTTCCATCGAGTCCGCCATGTTAAACTGCCATGTTTTGTAATATTCTTATTTTGTGATATCTTATTGTACTTCCGCTTCTGTACTCTTTTGCACTACTTTTCCCCTATGCTGCTGTGTCTAATTTGAATGTATCCTATGGGGGATCAATGAAGGTAAATCTTATCTTACATAAAGAATAGTTTAATAACTTTGTTTCAGTAACTCTTATAACTTTATTCACTCACTCTAGTCCACCATGGAAGTTCTGCTAGTTGTTGTTTGACAGACTAAGCAAAGTGATCATTATTATTATTCAGCCGAATAATCATAAACTCACTGCAGGGAGATCATATATTAAAGTAAAAAAGTAAAAAGAAAAATCTACGATAAACTATTTGCATGTAGGCTAAGCAATAGGAACACTCTAATCCAGACATCCAGAGGGAGAGACTGAGAGAAGGTCAAATTAACTATTTACATATTTACAAACTAAAGGAACCTCCAAATCCAGAGCTCCTTAAAGAAAGAGTAAGAGAGGTCAAATGTGCCCCATGAGCCTCACCTGCTGACTGCTTGCACAGCACAAGAGGAGAGGGAGAGACCCTGGTGCTGTATGCAGCATGCATGGGAATGAATTAAAGTGAAAGGTCGTAAAAACTACTGAGAAAGATGTCAAGTTGGCAACACTGGTCTCTATGACATAGTTTAGAGCTTGTGCTGTTGCAACTTCACATTTTTCAAATTTGAACACAACGATTTAGATTCTATATATTCCATGACACATACATGTAATAATTGTATTTGTAATGATACATTTCTCTACTGTTGCCCATAACTGTCCCAGACATCCTTCATTTCGAGTGAACATTGGCCCAAGCATGGCCTGAGGCTTGGATGCCCCCCTGCAGTCAAAGGCCCCGGGGCACTGGCTCCAGTCCAGTAGATCCAAGGATCTGGCAGGTAGAGAAAGATGACAGAAAGCAGGCTAGGAAGGGAATACAAGTGTTCAAAATAGCCATTGCATTCTTCCACTAGCTGCTTTTATGGCAAGTCCCTTTTCATAGACATACTATACTACCAGGCAAGACCAGGGCTGAAACCTGGTCATGGATGAGGTATTTACACCTCGTGCCTGAGCACTCATCTCCAATCTATTCCCCAACCCATGGTCTTCCAACTCATGTTGGCTTCTGCAAAGTGTTGCTTACCCTGCTGTCAAAAGACACAATGTCATCAGCCAACTAAGAAAGACCACTACTGCAGAGGAAATTAGACATGTTTTCAGTTCAAGTAAACAACACAAGATAGCAGGTCAAAGGACCATGAAAGACTGATTACTATCTGTAAATCATCAACAGGGAAGCATTTTATTGAGCTGGTGAAACAAGTATTTTTTGAAGCTCGATATAAAGGTTGGCACACCTCTGGGCAACTCAATGGATAGTGTAGCTAGAATGCAGGGACAGTATTGTGGGTTCTTTACACTTCTCTCTGAGCAGTCCCCTACTCAGATTCATATATGGTGTTACTCACATCTTATGAATCTTATGCTGGTAGACACAACAGGCTGTGATGTGAAAAATGCAGTACTGTTTGCACTGCTAAATGATACAGCAGTGTTCATAAGAGAGTAAGTGGTAAGAGATGAGTCAGGGCAAGCTTTACTGGCAACCGTGCTCAACAGGGGAAACTAGGTAGTGGGCAAAGGATTAGGCTCTAAGTAAAGTGTTTGGGTGCTTTGGGAATCCACAGGAAGCCTTGTTTTTTAACATCCTTATGGCTTCACTACCACAGTGCTCGAAATTAGGGATATCCCGTGGTCCCAGAGACAATAAAAGTACCACCTGGATAGATACAGTGACTGGGACACTAATGGTACAGTAGAGAAATGTATCAGTCCAAATGAAATTATTATGTTTATGCATCATGGGATATTTACCAGCATAAGCTTTATGCTACATCACATTTGCTTACACACACAAAATCAGTCATAGTGAGATCCTATTTGGCAACTTTTTTTCTAGATTTGGATTTTTCAGATTATCAAGGAAAAGGCAAGTAATATATTAACATACATTATATTGTAATTCATTCGTGTTGCTCAGAGTAATCTCAGTCCGCAGCTCTTCTGCTAACAGCGTCTGTCAGCACCCTGTCTCTGTCTCTGGATCTCTGGATTACAGTGTTCATGTAACTGATATGTAAATAGCTCATTTGACCTTCTCTCTTGCTTTCTCTCTGGATTAGTGTGTTCCTATTGGTTTAGCCCATAATGTAAACAGTTTGTTAAAATTGTAAATATTTAGATAGTTAGTTTGATCTCCCTCGCTCTTTCAATTTTTACTTTTTTATTTCAACTAGAAGATGTCATTGTAGTAAGTTTGTGATTTTTTGGCTAAATAATAATAGTGAGTGTGTGTATGTTCATTTTCTCTTACCGTATACCAATCAGAAACCGGTTTGCATTTGCACTGCAGTTTGCTGTGATGAATTTATTGATCGAACAGTTAGAAATAAACAATCAATGACTAAAAGAATAATGAAAACAGAGACATTTTATCATTCATATAAATGCAGGTAATAGCTGAACTTAAATGGTGGACCATAGTGAGACAATGAAATGAAGAATTTATTTGCCCTTTAAAGTTAACAAGAAAAAAGGCTGGGTAACATTGCTGGGGAGTTTCTAGGATGAGTGTGTACACTGTAGATATTAGCTGTGTTTTGTTTCCTTTGTTTTGTTTCACATAAAATGTTACCCCACAAACTAATTTACTGTTGTCCTGAAAATGATTGTTTTATCAAGAAAATGTCTCCATCAAAAGGCTATATTTGCATGATTTACAGTCATCATCTGGTTGCTGCTTGTTTTTGCCAATTCAGCTGCACACAGCCTCCAGATCTGTTGCCCAGATTTGAGTCTCAGGAGCAGTTTTTCTTTCTTTTTTAATGTTTTCTACAGTTATTGAGAACCAACAACTCAAAGTACATTCAAAACAAAGTCCCCGCCCATCTGAATGTTTACGGAAGGGCTTTATCTTGCAGCAGTTGGCTATTTAAACCTCAAGTACTCTCTCGTGTCTGTCCAGTCCTGCAGCTCCTTTCTTGCTCAACTGACCCCTCGTTTTTTCTTGTTGCAAAAATGGCCACAGCTGGTAAGGTAGGTACCTAATTCAATATGGGAGCACTCTCATGAACAACTGAGATGACTTTTTCAGAGTATAGTATAAGTATAGTAAGAAACTAAGACATCAAACCTTGATATATTTCACTATTATGAGAGTTTTATGAGATTCTTAAGTGATCATAATAAGTGCATTTTATTTGTATGTGATGGTAATTCAATGGTTGAAGTGTGGGTGGGTGAAGCTGATGCCTGACAGCTTGTTTTAGTGCTTGTACTTGCTTTGTTTTAATCTAATTCTCTTTGCACATGCATGTTTATTTCCCTCAAACCAACTTGGAATTATTATTCTTACTGTAATCCAAATAGCAAAA